ACACTCCCACTGTACCTATCTTTTTTTTTTCCTTCCTTACTTTGCTCCGTTGATTTACTATTATTGTATATCGGGGTACTGGTGAGATTATCTAGTAAAGGGTCAAAATCGTGTTTCTTTCTTTCGTGGTACCAGATTCCAGATGAATTAGTGGAGCATTACTTGGCTAAAAGCGGCTTCCAGTGCCCTGATGTGAGATTGTAGGTATTCGTTCCTTAATATTGAATTTTTTTCCTCTTAAGCGAATTTTCTCATTACTAACAAGTATTAAGCATTTCTTTATTGCTTGTTAAGAGTTGTTTTCCTTGGTGTGATTTGTTCTACTGTGGAAAGAAAATTTTCATAACTTGCTATTCCAGATTAATTTATTTTTTGTTATTTATTTGAAGAGGAATGGGCACTTTTTTTTTCTTGGTTATTGGTACTCCACTAGTTCATGGATTTTTGCAAAATCACATAGAATAGAGTGCCAGTAACAAAAAGTGGTGTGCTGATATTGCCACCATATCGTAGTCTACAGGGGGGGAGGAGGGGAGAGGAAGACCGAGTTTGATTCCTCTTACCTGACTGTTTTGTTTCCAATTGTTGTAGAATCAGGCTGGTTGCAGTTGCTACACAGAAGTTCATTGCTGATGTGGCTACAGACGCTCTTCAGTATGTTCATTCTGTCATTTTTCTTATGTACTTTTACGAGTGCTTTTGTATCAATTATTATCTTTAATCAGCTTAATCGTTGAGATTGTTATAAGAATTAGCTGTAGAATAACTTTGGTTTGAACGATTCAGTATTTAAGTACTTTCTTGAGAGCAATCATTGACATAAACATGAATCGAACTTTTTGATCAATGCATTGAACCAGTTAACATGATCCCTAGGCCTTTTCTTAGATGAAGGTGAAGGGGAACAGGTGATTACAGTTCCTATTTGAGTTGACCTGCGAAAATTTCAAAGTGGATTGTTTAGAAATGATTATTTAATGCCCTGCTCATTTTTTTTGCCTTTGTCTGCTAAAAAATGCAGGCAATGCAAGGCAAGGCAGTCTGCTGTAGTCAAAGATAAGAGAGAGAAGCAACAAAAGGTGCTTGTTTTTGTACTTTATTTTTCTTCCCCTTTTTACATTTACTGCATCTAACACTTTTTACCTATAGGATAAGCGGCTAATTTTGACTATGGAGGATCTTTCCAGGGCATTGCATGAGGTAAACATAAAGATCGTCTTGATTAGTGATAACATACAGAAGTCTAGTTTCCAGGATGACCCAATTGTGATGATGAAGTAATTTAGCCCACCCAATCGAAAAGGCAATTTTTTTGGTTGGATTTACTGCATTCTTTTTTCATGATAGGTATAGTTTACAATCGCTGAAGTACAGTATGTTATAATTAAACCAACTCCGCATTTCGTTTTGCAACTTGATAAATCAAATGATGATATAGTGCGTACCTGTTGTAGAGACAATTGTAAAGCAATTTATATGTTTTGCACTTAAATAACAGACTTGTAAAGGAGAATGGGTTGTTTCCTGTCAACCTTATATTAGCCGGACTCTCTTTCATTAAGAATGAACAAGAGTGCTTAAAAACTAGGAGGACTGTATGTCAGGAATGTATGAATTTGTTACAAACTGTCATGTTGATAACATATAGACTGGTTGAGTTATTTCTCAAATGTAGGACTTTCAGGTAATGTATCTTGAGAATAACCTGAGAAGGTACAAAACTTTGCCAGTTTGCTCTTCTAATATTTGTTCCCTTGGGCCATAATTACCTCTTAGCATGACCTTGTTTTAATTGGTGCTCAAGGGATGCATCCTTGTAGATGATTGTCCAACATTACCAATTTGTAGCATTATTCAATCCCTTTATTCCTGTTTTAGCAGGTTCTCATCATATTTCAGTTAACAAAGACGTGAGTTCCTAAGATGGACTTAGACAGACATGCACGCATGGACAAACACACACAGACACACACACACACACACACACACGGTTTTGGCATTTATAACGTAGCTCATTATAGAGATTTTAAGTGCCTAGGTGATCTTGCGCACATAGGCTTACTCTAAATTATCCTGTACCTTCAGTCCTTTCTCATTCTTAGAGTTCTCTTCTTTATTTTCTTTTCTTAATCTGAAAGCTAAACAAAGGAAAGGGAGATGGTTGGACTTTCACTTGTTACTTTTCATTGATTTCTAGCATGTTACTAAAACCTTGTAGAATGTTTATCAGGGAATTGGCAATTGTCTAGTCCAAGGTTATATGCACTAATATGTCTCTGATATTGGCAAAGTGGTGAAAGTATGACATGAAATTATTGTCTTCTCCCTGTTCACATGTCTGGGGATAACTGATCTCTATCAGTTCTTGAATGTCAAATGGATTCAGTATACAGTATACATGAGAACGTTTAAGTAATAAATACCCTTAATGTACTCGTCAATGAGTAATCGCTGAAAAGTGTGGCACCAGGAATAAGCAACATTGTTTAATATGTGACACTTTTTCTTTGTATTTAGATTATAATCATCAATCAAGGTAGACAGACTTGAAGTAGGAGGTCGGGAGCTTAGTCATCAGCTAAATACAATTGATCAAGATCTGAATTTTGACACAAATTATGCTATGCTTATGAGGAAAGTCCATTGACTCGAGTATTTGACTATAATCACTTAGAAGTGCTCAGGGCTTTTTCACCTAGGCTAACTAATCCCTGGCATTTACTTCATTTGCTTTTCCTTTTTTATCAAGCTACCACAGCAACTGGACCTTGGTTCTTTGGCATAATCTATTTGTTGGGATGATCTAACTCCATAATGGGTGTCAGGCTTGGCCTGTGATACTATTGTTTAGTTGTCTACATGTAACTTTTCCATCTCATTCTCATTACTCCAAGCTTTGCCAGTTCAATTAGTTTGCCCTCCACTGTTGTCATCATGTTCTCTTCAATGGATACTAGTCTCTTCCAACCTCTCTCATGTAAAGCTATAAATCTTTGTGCTCGCAAAATGTGGTTCACTACTTTCAAATATTTGAAACTTACACATCTCACTTTAGCTGCAAATTAACAGTTCCAGAAGATCTTATCGTCATTTACTTATTGAAGGGACAATCGATCATATATCTTTTGGTCTTTTGGTACTACTGTATTTGATGTTTATAGTTTACGTTGTTGACAAAACGGCTGATGGATAGTATTTGAATTTCCACCATGTATAAACTTTGGCCTTAGAGTATTGGAGCTTTTTGTGTTCCATATCCAATAAAGTACGCAACTCTTAAGCAAACTGAGAAGCCAAAGTCATTAGGATGCTTACTCAAGGTTATGATTTTCTTTGTTGTACAAGTACATGAAATATCCGTCTTGGAAGTGAGTACTTCATCTGATGAGATTTGATTCCTGCGATCTGAAATATATATATTTATTTACTTTTCGTATGTTCATCATAATTTATTTACACCTACTGGTATTTGCATTATTCTTCTTCCGGGTAATTACTGGTTTCCCTTTAACTATGCTTTGCAGCATGGCGTCAATGTGAAACATCAAGAGTATTTTGCTGACAGCCCTTCTGCTGGGTTAGATCCTGTTTCAAGGGATGAATAATCGGAGACCCTTGTTATTATTCCTTAATCAGTCTCTCCTCCTCATAGTTATTGTACTGTAAAATGATTTCTCTGCTAGTCGAAGACTGTTTAGGATACATTGTACCAAGTTATTTATAGATTATTTAAATCAATATTACATTTGCTAGTCAATTTGATGTTGGCTTTTTGAAGTTGTGAAACAATCTGATTTTGACTATTGTTTGTTTTTGGCTTTTTGGTAGTGCAAGAATAAATTTTTGGGAAGTACAATCATGCGTTCATTCAAATCACATTGAATAGTGTGTGTAAACTTGCATAACTTTACAGGGAAATTTTTTCTTTTTTCTTTTTTCTTTTTTAAAGAAATCATCATTCATGAGATCTATACTAATGCCAGAAAATATATCATCAAATATGTTACAGAAATATCATATTTGAAGGATTCGAAGATGTACCAATTTTGAGAAAATTACAAATATTACACATATTATATTGTGAATCTTCATCCTAGTCCAATAGATATCTATCTTTTTGGCCCCAACAAGCGTACGTGCATGTTTTCTTCCATCACTAGAAATTCCAGATTTGACAAACAAATATGCCAAAAAAAAACTAAGATTTGACCCAAAAAAAATATAATGCAAGTAAAACTATCACTATTAACCATAAGAGAGAGGAGACCCTCCTTGAAAAGCAAAAATCTCTTAGTAGGAAACCTTCCTAGAAATTTTAAGAGATATTTTATTACCCTCCAATGGAAAAAGAAATCACTGGAGGAAAGGAGAGTGGCCATCTGGGAGGAGCGGAGGAAGTTAGAGAGAATCCTCTCGTAGGAAATTACGAGTATATTAATTGGATTGGACGTTATTTCAGAATTCAAAATTTAGGCCGACCTGGCCTTCAATTTGTGCAGACCGAATTGCTAATCCGTTTTCATAAAATCATGAGCAAGGATGCAAATAGGTTTATTTTAGTATGTCATTTTCATGCTTGGCAAGGTGAAGTCCTATTGGTTCGTTACTTTAATTTGGCCACTAAATTTCCAAGAGTACAAATTCATGACCAAAGAGATCACATTTCGGCTTGGATTTAGGACTAACAGGACCAGACTTGCTATAAAAACATTCCAAATTACTCTCTTTTCCCCTATCATCTTTCCTATTCGAATGCAGCACGAATCTTTCTCAATTTTTCGTTCTCTCTTTCGTCAATCTTGCCTAAGAGAGCAGCCCAGATGCACTGTTAAGATGATCTGCAGCATAAAATTGGCAAATAATCCTAGGCTCAAGAAATGCTAAAGTTGGAGATCATCAGTTCAGATTAGCATGTACGGCTGTAGAGACAAAGATGCGGAACTCAGTCAATTTTGACACCAACTCTTCTACCTGATTTCCCAAAAGAAATTAAAGAAAAATTGAAAAAAAAAAGAGTTAAATTAGATATAACCCACAGTATTGACATGTTTAGAATTTAAAAGAATTGATGAAAGAAAGACTAGGGAAAAAAAACATCAAAGGACTCCATCCCTTCAAAATAGGTACAACAGAGTTCACAACAAACTATGAGGCAACAGCTTATCAGCAGCTTCACGTTAAAGAGCCTTTTAACCATTCAGCTCCCGTTTCTTTTACAGCCTGCAGCAATTTTCCTCCTGAGCTAAGGAGATCGGCCTGCATGAAAATATTCACTGTTTCCCAGTCGTATGCTCAATCAACTGCCAACGCGTCCCCCAGTCGTATACTCAATCAACTACCAACGCTAATCTCATCTAAATCTTCTTCATCATCAACTGGTGGACTAAACCAAGAGGATTCAAGGAGATGGCGCACGCTCTCCTCAGACATATAACTGCGAATGCTGTTAAAAGAGACCAAAAAACAAGATATAAAGATGGACAAATGCAAAATCTACAGTGAATAAAAGCATTAGGAATGTATGCACTCACCTGATCCTGCATAAACATGCAAGCTAAAAATAATCCGTTTGCGTAGGGGCTCATCACATTTGTGAAATGTCGTTTCTGATACCACTATCTTCTCATTTAAGAGTAGAATTTCCATTTAGACACCACTATCTTCTCATAAAAGAAAAAATAGTTTCATCTTTAGACCACATGGTTATGTAGACAAGTTTTCGCTGAATCAAAAGCATTTCAGGCAAGGTCCAAGACTTCTTGATCAAAACCTTGAGGGACAACTTAAATAAGTTACCTGCTTACTCCTTTTATCCTACCATGAAGTCCTAGTTTGATTTGTTACAGTACATTGCAAGGAAATGTTATAGAGAATTTCAAGCAAGCAAAATGGCTGGAGTATGGACCAAGACTGCTTTATTCACTCTATACTGCAGTCTAGGATAAGGGCATTAAACTGACATGTATTGACAACAAGAAAAGGAAGGTGAGCTTTTGCTTGCTTACAGATGAATGTGACAATTGAGCAACTTTAAATGCTGCTAATGAAGTAGCCAAATCAGTGACAAACTAAAACAATTCTACCACCCAAGATGCAGTGAAGATCCAGACTTTTTCACCACCATAACATGCAATAACTCTTAAAATTCCACCATATTATTTTTGACAGTATTCTTCCATCTTGCAAATCTTACCAAAACTCCAAGGTAACTTTCATCTCAAACATATGCATGATGTGCAAGATTAATTGCTGTACCACTATGAATCCAACTATTTCATCCTATTTCTGAATCCAAAACAGTATCAACCAAAAGAAACTGGCAAAGCAGATGTGATCCTACCTGCCATCGGGAGAGCGATGGGTAATAAGAAATTCAAACGGACGCGTGCATAGTGGGCAGGTAGGTTGCTCCTTGTAGGATGCCCATCGGAGGATGCAGGTTACACTGAACCAAATCAGATCAGGAAGATTATTCTCACAATTTATGTGCCAAGTAATTGATAGTGGCATAGACAACATTTTTTAAATTCATATAGGAGAGATTTATCCAACAAACATAATGGTGGCCTAGCAAAATCACATTAACAAGCCTACCACTGTTATCACTTCATATTAACATATAACATTATCAAATAACCTCTATTTGACCAGTAAAAAAGCTGCCCAAGTTTAAGCAAAATAAAGGACAATAACAAAGGACAGGGATAATATCTCTAAACATTTCTGGATACGGTTGCAAATAGACCAAACTCAAATAACAAATTCCAAAATTTTGGACACTACCAAATCAATAACATGACAAAACCCTGTCCACCTTCTCTGACAGAACACACTACTAATTTGTCCAACCGCACAACATTGACATAAACACCATTTATCCACGAAGAACATACATTCCTAAGGGACAGACCAGTAAGCTTGCATGACATAAACCCAAGGGACAGACCTTTTACATTGACATAAACTTTTAGTCTTTTTCTCATTTCATCCCTTCAAAAGTGTACAAAAGAGAAAACATATAGGAATATAAATGTAACAGATTATGGGTTATTTTGAACACAACAATGGAAGATAAGGGACAGACCAGTAAGCATGCTGGCAACCTTTTACAAGAGCAGTTTCCTGGAGCATCATTCTATTCAAACATATTGCACAGTCCCCAACATTATGAAGACCATCACCATTCATACCACAACTCTCACAGACGATTGAGGACTTGGCATTGATTCTTCTCATCTCCTGAAGGACCATTTTTTGGTTGACCTCCATCATCTCAACCAATCTGGTCACCATCTGATGAAATTGCTCAACCTGTCCTTTCAGATCCCTCATAGCATCTTCAATACTTTGAAGCCTACTTTCAATCTTCTCTATCCCATCCTCAAGACGTCTCTCCTCACCAACAGAATGATCTTCAAACATGGCATCGACCTATGTCAATGACAAAATTGTAATATTAAATGCAGAAAAGTATAACTATGATTTATTACAGCGTAATACATATTAAGAAACAGTCAAGGACCAATTCAATCTATGCTACATAACACCCTGTCATTTACCTGTGCACCATTGAAAACCCCCATAACCTTTAGCTGATCAACCTTCCTCTTCAACACCTCTTCATCCCAGTCTTCAATGCGTGGAATGTGCCGATTACAAAGTGCTGTATATGCGTCACCATGGATGCAAAAATGCTCAAAGTATAAGATCTACCAAACCAGCAGTGGAAGAAAGTTAAAAAACAGTCAAGATCTACCAAACCAGCAGTGAAGGAAAGTTAAAAGACAGTCAAGATCTACCAAATCAGCAGTCAAAAAAAATCTATAGAAAGGGACCACATTCAGATTTGAACTTATTAAGCTATGGTTTTTGACATTATCGCTTCTACTAAGATCAAGTAATGTTGCATAAAGTAAAGCATTTTTCCATTCTTAGATTGCCTAATCAAACAACTACTACAGGCATTCAAACTCTGCATCTGAAATGAAAACATGATAAATCTCAACTAATTTACATTGAAGCGTAAATCAAATAATCTCAATGGCATTATGTACCACAAGCATAACATACACAGAAGCATGAAACCAGTTGAAATACTCAGGTACACATATCGAGATCTGTTCTCCCAAAAATTACAAGAAACCTGAATGAACAAATAATGAGAATTTGATGTACTACTATATACTGAAAATAGATTACCATCAAAACAACAATGCACCCAACAAACTCGAACTGATTTCTTTGCCTCTGATCGCAAAGAGAGTCAATCAGGTGGTCAAGGATGTATTTAGACCAGTTCATGTTCTTCAAATTGTCCACCTTGGCAACTACTGCAAGCAAGCTCTTCCTTATAGCAAACTTCGTCCTAGGGCATAAGAGTCTACAGAGCAAAAACAGCACAAGCTTAACTTTGAAGTCTGTCCCGCTGCTGTTGGTCTTCATTAGACTAGTTCTCAGTCTGGCCAAGCCTATCTCACCACCATTATCCAACTGAATGTTAAATTCAGTCAGTAAATTATCATCCAAAGACAATTCACTTTCTAAAGCAGCTACATCCAAGCCTCCACTATTCAATCCCGTTACATACCCAACATGCTTAGGAGTCACCTTCAAACTTCTACCATGGACATTCAATGTCCTCTGCTCTGCATTGAAATGGTCCACCAACCAAGAACAGTAATCGTTATCTAGATTGAAAGCTAGTATCTTTAGAATCGGTGCAAAACCTAGATCCTTAATTGCATTCTCTTGTTCTGGCGTGAGCTTGTCAATTATTTCTTTCACCATATGCGTCGAGCTTCTAGTGCTATATGGTGACTGCAATTCAAATTTCAACAATTAAACTTACATATCAATCATCAATTGGAAAAACACTGAACAGCTCATCATATCAAGACATTTAAATAAACAAATCACCAGAAGTCCTATAACCAGTAAATCTATCTACTTACTCGTGAAATGGCTGCTCTAACAACTTGTTCAGACTGCAAGTTTTCTACATTCGCACTGCTGCAAGCATCTGCTGCATCATGTCTTGCTCCCGTCCTCATTCTGGCTGAATTACTTTCAGCCCTTCCATTCTCTCTAATATCAATACTACCACTTTGATGAATATCACATTCCAGATTATCACCTCTCTGCCGCACGTTACGACTGGTTCCTTCGCCTCCCGCCCTCCTCTTTCCCCTGCATACGAGTAATGTGACAAACATTCCATTGCAGGTTTCAAATTAATACTCCTAAACAAAATACCAAAGGAATCTAGCAAGCGTAATAAACCCAAAAAAAGCACAAACTTGTGAAAAGGGTGCACTCCCTCAGCTATAGAATAACTTAAGACTTATTTATAGTAAAGGCTGCCCTTTTATTTAACTTCTATGCCACAACACTTTGTCGTGTACATTGAACATTACACTTCATACAGAATCTTAACAAAAGCCCTTCTCACTAATTAACCAGAAAAATTGAATCTTTTTCTAAAGGATTGCGGAATAGTCCACTTTAATTTCCCATCAAGAATTACACAATTAACATTAATGGTTCAGGTTTTATCAGGGTTTTAACCTGCTACGCAAAACCATCATGCAAACTAAAGTCTTTAAATTATGTTGGTTAATACCAACAACATATTTGTGTTTGTTTTCCATTGTACACTAATAAAATTGAAAAGGTTTAAAGACAAGTATAGAACTTTTGGGTAACTTTACTCACATTTTCAACTGAGAATTGTCTGTTCAAGAAATGGGCTTTGCCCAGTTCTTCTTCAGCTACTGTTCTCCTTCCTTCAGATCCCAACGATAGCCTTAAAAACTTCCTTTCTCTTCTTGACTTCAGCCAAATTTTAACCGAAAAGAGGTTTTTAACTGCTTTAACCCTAAACAGTCTTGTTATATACCCACTGGATTTTTTAGCGGTTACTGTTTACTTATTTATTACTTTACCATTTTAACCTTAACTTTATACATTCAAGTTGTCGTGATTACTGATTTACTGGTTGACAATTTTTCTAGCTTTTCTAAAAAAAAATCAATTAATATGGAAAGGACACTAACGATAGTCGCTAAATCGTATAGTTTATTGTCAATCGTTCTAAAATGATATAAGAGTTTTTTAACAGGTTGTAATTCATCATTTACAATTCATATATTTTTTGTAACAACTTCTGATTCATTGTCACATGTTAATACATTTTTCTAACAGTACAATTCAATGTGAATCATTACTAAACAGTGTAAGAGTTCTTTGACATGTTGTAATTCATTGTCAACAATATATAATTTATTGACAATTGTTTGTATATTTTCGTAACAAACATTTTATATTGAACTATTATTCATGTAAACTTAAACTTGTTAGTTTAGTTAGAATTACATGATGTTCTCTGATCCTTACTTATTAAATTTTGTAAACCCTAGGCCATTAACTTTTTGGGTTAGAGTTTAGATGTTTGTTATTCTTCCCCCCCCCCCCCCTTTACCTACTGAAAAACCTAAAGTTTAAATCCTAAAGCAAATGACAACATTTAAAAAAAAAGAAATTAATTTGATAGCATCAGGTCAAGTTATAAAACAGAACATCCCTCAACTCAAATCACAACATTTCAGCTTTCTGACTTCTGCTTTTTTTCATTCTAGCACCTTCCTCATCTTATATGCATGTGTTTGCATGCCTCTTTGGCAAATTTTTGTTTCTACGGTATGAAACTTTTGAGATTCGTTACTGCATTTCACTATGACCGGCTTTTGCAAATTTGACTAGATTAATCCAATGTGTTCCTTTAAATCATGAATATTACTTTCTTTTTTTTAAAAATAATAATTGTTAAAGTCAATCACTTCAGTCTTTCGTATGATAGCAATTAGAATTGAACTCGTAAAAGCAATCAGTAAAATCCCCTAAAGCAGTTCGGCATGGACTTGGCAAACATACCCTATAGCGTGTAGCAGAATTCTTTCCTGCACATTAGTTTATGAGATCAATGTCTACATTAAGTTAGGATTAATCTTTGTATATATTGTCAGTATTTACACAATTACCGTTAAACATACGACACATGTACAAGATTTGAATTTAAATTCAAAATTTTATTTATATATCATCCATCCAACCAACCGTGACAATATATACAATAACAATGTATATAATAAGTTATTTAAGTGTATATAAGATTTACTAATAAGTTATTTAAGTTGATTTTAGTCCCCCTCAAAGAAATGTCTGCACAGATTTGAGGTGGAATAACTAGGTCAATCAAAGGATTGAAATCTTGAATAAATACAGAAGGGGCAGTTAACTATTTAGCCCAATTACGAGTACATCCAATCACATACTCGAGTCGTCAGCATCTGCTAAATTATTAATTCAGAATAAAGCGGTAAAATTCTGTACAAGTTTGATGATTCAGACAAAGGTCTCAAAGCTTGTGAAGCAGGCGTCTTCAGGCCAAAGATAGGTCTTCATGCTTCAATGCAACCTCACTTGCGACCCAACCTTGCCAAATGCTGCTGATGCTTTGCAGCAGCTGCTTTATCAGCAGCTTCACGCTTCAGAGCCCTTTTAGCCCTTCGGCCCACTGCTGGCGACTCTCTTGCAGCTGCAGTTTCTTTCTTTCTAGGCTGGCGAGATGGTCCCGCACCAGAGTCTTGGGTATTGGGGCGAGGAATTGGCCTAGCTTCCTGCCTTCCTGCTCGAACATAACCATTGTCCCCCCATCTTCTGTTACCAATCCGTATACTCGATGAACCACCAAAGTAAATCTCATCTATCTCTTCTTCTTCTTCATCTTCGTAGGCATAGGAATAGAAAAATCCCATATCATCTTCCACCTCATCCCTTTCCTCCACAATCAAGGGCTTGTACCATACGGCTCTTAGGAGGAGACACACACTCTCCTCGAACATATAATCATGAATGCTGTTCAAAGAGAAAAAACGATCAGCTCCAAAAATATATTACTTCTCGACACAATTGCTTTATTAAGAGGCCACCTTCAAAAGATGGATTACTTTCCAGAGACTATGGCTAGATAATAGCAAAACAGCAATCTAAAAGCATTAAGACTGCACTCTATGGCTCAAGCTTTTCACGGTAAACATCAAGGATGCAAACATGAAGGGACATGCCTGCTCCTGCCAGGACACACATGCAAGAAAATGAGCATTTTCACGTACTACTTCAGGTCTGGATGGTGATGAGAGAGCAGAATTTTTTTCCATTTTTTTTTTTTTTTGGTTTTGAGAGGGAGGTGGGGGTGGGGATGGGGTGAGGAGGAACAAAAGCTCAACTAATTTGATATATGATAGAAACAGTCATGAATCAGATTATCGAAGTATCCATCTTCCCATGCTCTCTGTCTTCTCATTAGTCAAACATTGATTGCAAATACAACATTAAGTCACGCAGATGGATGCCAGATGAGTCAAAAGCATTTAAAGCTAGGTTCAAGCTTTTTTATTACAGGTTTGGGATCAAGTACACAAATCCAAGTTGTAATCAAATGCATTTACACATAAAAAGGTGACTGCTTACTAATATTGGATCACAAACTTTACATAAATGCAAAAGACCAAACCTAGAACCCTAAATGGTCAAAGATTTGCTTAACTTAAGCAAATAACATACAGAAATACAGACGCTAAGGAGGATAAGAGACCAACTAGCAACACAGATCAAGTCCAGCTTAAAAACCAAAGCAGCCAACATAGTCAAACAAACACTCTACTTCGTTTATAAGTGCACTTACAAATCCTTTTCTGGCGTTTATGGGTGAAAGTTAGAATTAATGGTACCAGCAAAAAAAAATTAATAAAGGACTAACCAAAATTGCGAACATCTAGCTGCAGCAGAAGTTTCAGCACCACATTCATATATTTTATGGCGGAAGCAAACAATACCACAACAATGACTGAAAAATTGGTTCATTTAACTGCCAGCCAGTAGTACTAAATACCCACACCAACCAATATGTCACTATCATAAGGAAGGTAGAGTAAAAACTGACTTCAAATAAATACATTTACAGATTAACTCATTACAAAACATGTATGAACTCTTAAAAAGTCCTCCCAATTAATGCTTGTAGAGACACTCTACCAGCTCAATAATTCTGTTCATTTAGCACCAATTGTCAAATAAGTTCTCACTTGAAATTTCTGCAAAGTTTTCCAAAACAATTGCCACATGGAAATTATTCTAACCAAGCTTTCCCAAATTCGACCCACAAAGATCTACAAATGAGAAAATAATGATAGGACACATGATTTTGTACCTTCCATCAAGGGACCGATGAATATTGAGAGACTCAAATGGTTGTTTGCACTGGGGACATGTAGGTTCCTTCTTGTAAGATGCCCAATGCAGTATGCAGTTCACGCTGAGAACCAACAGTGATCGTGTCAGTCATCTAATTGCAATATCTAAATATTGTTTTAGCTCCAACAATATAATGGACACAAAAAGAGTCCAAAACTACATCCATGTGCATGAAAATTTCAAAACTTATCAGAGGACAGCTAACACATAAAAGAGGTAATCCAGCACAAGAGTTGATATATGGGCCAAACAACAGACCTAAAGTTATTGTCAAGCCAACGACAACAACAATAACGGACTACTTGTTAATTGACCAGGTGAAAAGTTTTTCTCATGTTTTTGCAAACCAAACACAATAACCACAAATGAAGTGATACATAGTTACTCATGCATCTGGAAACCAAATTTAGCACCAAAAAAACAGAAACTTGGAAAATCAAGAGTTTAATCAATAACTAACTAGGTACTCTGAAATATAAAATGACCAATACTTTCAAGTAGGAAAATCAAGATCACAACCCCATTCTATACAATTTTACCAAGCTACTCGCCTACAAGAAATAATAAAAGAATCATTGTGCATAGAGATAATAAAATCACAAACATTAATAGGTCAAAGCAAAGACAAACCAGTAGGCATGCTCGCAACCTTTTACAAGTGCAGTTTCCTGAAGCATAATATGATTCAAACAAATTGCACAAACCCCATCATGATGGGGACTATTGTTATCAAAACGACTGTCAGCAACACCACTGCTACTCTCACATCCCACTGAAGTCATCTCCCCTGCTGCATAAGTACCGTTACCCTTCATTTTCTCCTCCATCATCTCACTCTGCAAACCCACATTTTCCACCAAACAAAAACATTCAATTTTCAACAACAAAGATCTAATAATTAATAACTTAATCACCAACCCAATAGTAAGATTTACCACAACTATCATACTTTATCCCAATTAAATCTACCAACGGTGTTAACCACAAGAGTTATAGCATTTTCGATTCATTTTTGACAACAACAACGATAATAAAGAAAGACTTCAATCAGTCTTCAGTGAAACATAGAACCATAACAATCTACAACAGTTATTAACTTCTTTTTTTTATTTGGACTTTACTACTATTTTCAGCTATAATTACTGCAGTTTCCGTTACCCCAGTTCGGAATCCACTACCACTATCAAATCAAATGACACGTGAGAATATAAATTTTCAACAATAAAAGTTAAATCCCAAAAAACATTTGCTAGACTACTGAAGAAAGATAAAATTCAGCCAACAATCCCTCAAGATTTCAATTAGATTAATCCAATATAATCTATCCACAAAAAAGGCTCCGACCCGGATTTTATAATCAGATCAGAAGGTCAAAAAACTTCACATATCAACCAACAATTACTAAGAATAAATCAAATCCATATCAAACCAAGGAAAAAAAAATTTTTCCCATTTTCTCAGTGTTCTAAAATTTTCACTGTAAAACCAAAAAATTCCCAAAAAAATAGTCAAGAGAAAATAACCGAGGGAACGAACCTGGTCGTGGATGGATAGATCTTGAAGAGAGTCGGTGAGTTGTTGCTCTTGATGGGCGATTTCGAAGATTGTAGCAGCCATGGAATAATACTGGAAGGAAAGAAAGACGGGTTCTTGAAATAAAAAGCTTTTTAATTAATCCTAAAGGTCTGATCTATATTTATATTTATGTATAATTTACAAAATTTGGTGAGAAAACAGAGAGCGAGAGCTGCTGACGAATTATTCTGATTCCATAAAGAGGGAGAGGCCCCTCCAGACGGGAGAAGGGAGGAAGAGAGGGGAGAGGCGAGTCAGCCTGAGACACGACAACGAGTCTTTTAACGCGGTGGCTGTAAACTGTAAAGGTCATGATTTCCCCTTTCTATTTTATTTTGACGAAAAATTTTAAATGAATCAAGAGAATACCTATTATTAATTAATCTATTATTACTGCAACCGTCAGAGTTGTCAATACGCAATAGGACCGTGCTTGGTCCGATTGGTCCAAAAAATTAGGCCCAGCTGAGACTCAAAATGAGGTCCGATTTAATTGTAGGTCCAGCTTTTACCCCTTTTTTGTTTGACAAGCTAGCTCGTGGTCAAATAATTAAGGAGGTGTCAAAATGGATGATTTGCATGGGTTTTGGTTGGATAAAATGACTAATGGATATAATTGAGTCAATTTATTTTTAATTAAATGGGTATAAATGAGTAAGTCAAAAAAAGAGTTGGGTAATCCAATTACTCATTTGTAACTCATTTATTTTAACTTTTTATAAATTCATTTAAATTCATTTTTACAAACTAAGTTATCAATTTATACCATCTTTTGCACCCATCATTAATTTTAAATATTTACTTATAATGCTCAATAAGCCTAATTATCAATTTTTTTGCATCCATATTCTATGTCGCAAAATTACATACTATTTAATAATTAAACAATAAGAATATAAAAATTTGAACTAAGTACTATAAAAATTAACATAAAAACTTAATTCAAAAATTTTGAACCTTTAGCATTTTTCGTGTGTAAATTTAAAATTTCGTTTTGAAAAAGTAAACAAACTAAAAGAAAATAAAATGATAAAATAAAACCAACAAATAATAGTAATAATGAAACAAAAGTAGTTAACATTATGACAAAATGAAAGTTTGAAAAAAAAAGGGTGGGGGAAAAGAGGAGGTTTGGGAGAAGACAATTCTAAATGGGTTAATTGAATTTGATGGGTTACCCAATAATACCCATTTAATAAATGGGTATTATTGGTTAATCCATTTATATCCATATGCAAAAAATTTAAGATACCCATACCCATCTATTCGTGGGCGGATATGAGTAAATTTAGTTAAATATGTTTGTTTGGTAGCTATACATATGAGTATGTGACTTTTATTTATAATGATGTATATTGTTTAATAATTGTATGTATTATTGCATACATAATTTATAATTTGCATATAATGGTAAAATAAAATAAAATAATATATGCTTATAATATATAATTATGGATTAAAGTATATGAAAGGAAAAATATAATTATGGATTAATTTTGAGTTGGAATTGAGCCCAAATTAGGCACGAAGCTCTAATTTCTTTTGATGTTAATTGAGGAAGAAATTTAGTTTACCTACCTTACAAATTTATATTGCAAATACGTACCTTCAAACTTACATTCAATATTTTTGTGTGTTTTTATTAGGCACTGTGTTCAAGTTTTCAAGTCTGCTTCGTTACATTATTGTAACCCAATTACGAGGTACCTATGTTTGCAGAAAGAAAATCCTTTCACAAAATGTTAAGGAAATGTTTGCTTAGTTGAATTTGACTTTAATACACAGATATCTTATATGTGTCCTAGGGATGAAGACTCGCTCCATATTTATGGAACTATTTTTCTTAAAAAATGAATCTTATATACACTATAAATGTATATGCTATCGCCATTAGATATATGATACATGTGCAAAATTTGAATTTAAAATTTAAAATTTACTCATGTATCATCCATTCAACCATAATAATGTATACATTGACAGTATATACAAAATTTATTCTTTCTTAAATATGATAGAACTAATTAACTTTTAGATTAATTTTTTCTACACTGACAGTGTATATACTGTTAATGTTGGATGAATGATAAATATGTAAAATTTGAATTTAAAATTTAACTTTTGCACATATATCATGGATTGAACAAGTGATAGTGTACATACTGTTAGTATATATAAGATTTACTTTTAACTTTTATTGTAAAGGTATAAAATATAATTTACAAAATGAGAAAAGAATGAACAGCAAATCCCTACTCTGAATTAAAATTTGAAGTAGTCTTCTTTTAAACTTTCGTGTCCCGCAAGGACCTTGGGTACTTTATTTAACTTTTTTTTTCCTTGTTCTTTTCGTGTGGCTCTAGGGAGGGAAAAAGGCCCCTTAACATGGGATATGCCATGCCTGTAGCATTCTCCTTACAGATAAGATGGATAGATAGCCAACTGGCGATTGACTTTTACTAGGAGGTATAAAACGCGCGATGCGCGTAGGTAACTAAAGACAATATGCCCCGCCAAATATGTCAAATATGCGTTGGTAATAGTGCTTAGCATGCCCCATTGAATGTAAAAAAAAAGTTGAAATTATAAGTTTAATTGCACTAATTGTTGGAAGATAAAAATGGATTGTGCAAAGCATACATTATATTAGAGACTGGAATAATTGTAATTATAGAATGGTTGCAAATTTGATGAATATCGTATAAATAAGGTGCATAGGGAGATTAATTCTTCAAAGTAGAAGATGGTGGTAGATAATAAATTGAGATTTAAATGGAAAATGGCAAATGCCATGTATACACAAAGTTGAATATAATGAAGTACAGTTACAAAAGTCATGGCCTGGTGGATAGAGAGTAGTATTTCGCCATTGCGAAAATCATGATTTGTAACAAAGTGACATTTGTCACTCACAGAATTCTATCCACCTTATCAACTATTTTTATCCCCTCACTTCATTAGTAGCGAGAATGACACACAAGCATTACGCCCCTTCAATGCCTTTTACATTACTACAGTTTTTTGGCCAAGCCCAAGCAATAACGCTCGAAGCAAATATATCTCAGCCCAAACAACAAATTACCCTGTTGGCCAAAATGATTTTACCTCAATATGAAAATATAAATTGAATTGACAAAAGAAGAATCCTTCATTCAAAGGTTGGAAATTGGAACAAGCTTCAGTACAGTATACACTGATTATTTATACAAACATTTGACAGAACAAAGAAAGCAGGCAACAACAAAAGAAGAAAAATTAATAGATAATATCTTTGTCCATTTAATAAATGTATAGATAACAAACTCTTATCAAAACTCTGCAGAGTAGCTCCTAGTAGGCAAAGGCAAAGTACTTTACATGCACAAACTACAATACTCGCAAGATATACATAACATATGTGCCAAAGCATTTGCGATAATGTTCAACTTTCTTATTAGTCAGTTTTTCACAATATCATTCTAGTTACTGAGCCTAGTGAACAATGCTGCATTTTCCAATTAGAAAATAATAGCAAAGTGCAACAGGCCAAGGTTTCGCAACATTGATGTTAGCAAAAGCCATATATACATATGCCAATACAGTCATAGCTGAAGGTGATAATCTAAATCTTTTCAGCTCCATTGATCCGCATCACAGCTAAAGGCTTCCAACAAGTTGTTGAGGCCACATAGTTCTGATAAATATGTTGCAACAAGCTGTTTTATCCAGTTCACAACTGGTATGTTTGTAGTATTTTTTCCTCGTTCGAATAGGATACAACACTTGATAAATTGTGTGATATTAACTCCATCAGAAGCAATAAGCCTGCAATTCATGATCAGAGATTTCTTAACAGCTTTAAATCTATAAAGTGAAATCAAGAGAGTTGCAGTACATTGGAAAGTTTCAAATGAGAAAATAACCAAGTCCTTATTAAAGAAATGATCAAATCAAATTATTTTTCTGATTTCTTAAACGCATTTTTTTCCTAGAGAAAAGAGGGGGGGTTTAACTTTAAGATACATGTAAAGCAATAAATGACATCGAAACTGCAAGATGATAACCAGAGAGATATTTAGAGAATTCACGACTGAGTATCTCAAGATTATTACTTGCGGTGGCCAATCTAGAGAAAAAAATGAGAAAGCCTCTGGTGCATCATAGAGGCTGATAAAGGAATTTAAACCGACAAGATTATCTTTTTGCAATAAGTATATAAATTATACTCTACTAAAAATTAACAAGGAAAACTATAGCTCAATAGCATGTTAAGGTTGCAGAACAAAACCAACTTGTAAACAGACAACCCATGTCCCATTTTCTCTGCCATATAACCAGAGGGATATTTAAAGAAGCATGGAAAATTTTCAAAAATTAATACATTTAGAAATAAGTTCTAGACGGTAAACTGGCACATTAACACACAATGAAGACACAACTCAAGAATATACAATCATCAAACAATGGGAATTACTCAACTAAAATAAGCCTAATCCAATCTTTAACCGTGCTTATAAAAACAGCCAATAGGGAGAAAGAGGGACGAGAGGGCATACTATTTCCAGTTGGGAGGAAATATCTTTCTTGCTTGATCAAATGATACAAAGGAAATTTTGGTGCAACTTCTGCCAGCCAAAAAAAAATCTAATATTATAATAACTTCAACAATAAGAGTAGAAATGCAACATTAAAGATGATGTTGATTTATTTTCATTCTTATTATTACATATATTGTGAGCCTTGAGGATACCTAAGACCTTGCTGTGAGTGACAATTTTAAATCGCACCACATCTAATAATATTTATTCTGACATGCTGTCATTGCCTTCTTTGCCAAGCAGACGCAATTTTCAACCTATCCAATATACACTTAATAAAACAATCAAAAGAAAAGAACAATATGAAATGTATACATGCACATCAAGAAAAGTAGCAAAATAATGAAACTCAACTACCATCTTGGTAGGAGATCTTGAGCCAGCTCAAGGGAGTTCTCTTGTAAGGGAGATTTGATGTAGAAATGCTCTTACAAGATGGTACATGTAATTAAATAAAGTCTTTGCATTACAAATGAATTAAAATGAGCATGAATGATTGCATTGTTTGTTTGCTTGCGAAAGATAGAGAGAAAACAGACCTGCAACGGTGCATGTGAAAGGGCACAAACCTTGTCAGGCCTTAATCCTTAATCCTAGCCAAGGAACAGAAACAGAAATATAAGGTGAACAAATTGAAGAATCAGGATTTGAAATTCTACTAACCCAACATACAGAAAGTAAATATTCCTTGCTATCCTTCCTCTATTATTGTGAATTTAGATAATTAGAAAAATCCATCTTATTCCATTGTACCTGGCAATAAATTCAGAAAATGACACGAAATAAGCCAAGATGAGCGTGAAAAAGAGCAAAAAATCAAGCAAAGGAAAACTAAAGGTGCCAGAAACAAGGAATTAAAAAAAATAAAATGTAAAGGAAGAAGAATCGTGGGATTACAGATTGTAGAACATTATGGTAAATACGACAAACAATTGATGGTGCCACTGGAGCTTTCATCATAGGCTTTTTTGTACTGTGGCTGCATTTGAGGAAAAAAATACTAAATATCCATTAAAACATAAGAGTAAAGAAAAAAGAGAAGGGGGAAAAGTCATAGAGTCGCCAATTTGGCACATGACAATCTATGGTGGTGGAGGAGGAGCTTTGCTTCATTTACAGATTTGGAAGCTTCCAATGACTTTTGGAAAACAAATAGTTCAGCTCTCTTAGTAATCAAGTGATTGATCAGAAAAAAAAGGAAAGAAAAGAGGAAAAGAATAAAAAGGGAGAAAAAAAATATCAAAGAAAGAATCAAGGAAACTTTAGCTTTGCAATTGATCAAAGAAGGAGAGAGAGGGGATTGACAACTTCTTTTTAGAGGAGAGGGTACAAGTGGCCTGGAGTTGCAGCGTGGAGGGATATGAGAGAGAGCCAGGCTTTCTTCGTCAATTACCAGTTCCTCCACCTATGCACGAATTGCTAATATCTGGACAAACATCATAACAGCTACGTATCAATGTAAAACAATCATAAGGTTATATTAGCATAAATAAGTTTGTAAAAGAATATCATATTAGAAACTGTATCATCTCAGCTGGATCATACATTTCAGTTCGTATAATCACTAATCTGTCAATTAAGTTGATGGGTATGCCACGAGGACGTCATATATATTCCTTTACACACCAAAAAACAAAAAAAGATTTCAATTTAGCTAAAAATAGGATTTCCAGCAATTTTCTGCAATCAGACTATAAAGATTAAGATGCGGGCAACTATTGGTGAAAAATACACTCTTCTACTGGCGAAAGACTGTAGGAAGACTACTGCAACATTATTCGGCAAAGGGATGCCTATGCGTATGTCACCTATTGATGAAATTGAGAAATAGATAATGTACAACAGAATCCAAAGTTTCATCCCCTTCCCCCTTTCTCCTCGGGCAGAAAAAAGAAAGCTGTCTTAAGCATTAATCAATCATTGATTAATTACAAATTAACTTCAACATATACATGTGGAAGGTAACACCAGTATGTGACCTACACATTCAGAGAGCATCTACAATAATTTTAAATAATTCAGAGGATGAACTAAGATTGAGAATAAATGTTAAGAGCACCTATGCAAAATTAAGTGATTCAAGTCTACGCTCTTGATGTTCCACTGAGATTATAGCAACCAATAATTAAAGAAATGAAAGGATGAAAATCAAGATATAATTCAAAGAACTACACCAGCGTTGCTTTATACCTGACATTACATATTCCTCTATTTGCGGGAAAAATCACTATTGGTGATAGAAAACTTTCTAGAGCACGGTTCAAGTATGAAAAGCATTCCATATCCAACATATCAACCTGCAAATAAGATGCTTCAAATACTTAGAACATACCAAAATAACACCCAAACTCATTCATAATAATGTGTATATATATATATATAGATGAACCTCATCAATAAACAAGACTCCTTGAACAAGCTCTGCAACACCATCATCAATATAACGGTTCACAACTTGCGATTGACATCTTTTGTAAGATGAAACAACATACAACACAAAATACCAAATCCAAGCATCGACTTTTTGTAGTGATAAAAGTTATCACCTTTCTCCTGAACATTAAGTTAACATTTTACATTTTATAGTCCAGAACAGTTACTTCGTACAACATAAGCATGCTTCTACTAAGTGGTAATGGTTTCAATCTTCTGTACATCTATATTTGCTCTTTCATTTATTAATTTCTTGGCTGTAGGTACTTTTAACATATATATTCGCCATCAGGGTCAGCAAAAGTCTGCAACATTGTTTTGAAACACCACCAGTTTTTCAAAAAAATCCCCTAAAAAATGCAAAAAAATTCAACCAGCCAAGGGGGACTGGTTTCTCTGGATTATTTGGTCCTTCTACGAGTGCAATACTGTTGAAAATTTTGAGCAAAATCCATCGTGTTTATCGAAGAATAAAATATCATAGCTATATATATATATATATATATATATATATATAGAAATTCCAAATTCAGTCAGTACTGCACCCGTAGAAGGACCAAATAATCCAGAGAAACCAGTCCTCCAGTATTTCGTACACATAATTATTACAATTTGCATAAAAAATTTAACAAAGAGTGAAAATAAATCTCAATATACAGGGAGGAGCTATGTAAGTTTACAAACGACTATAAACAAGAATACGAGCTAAATCTTCAAAAAAAAATGACATCAAAGTTCACAAATTAGTGTACTCAAATAAATATTACCAGAACAATTCATTCCGAGGAAGAAAGCATATATACTTTGTGGCAAGCTGTTTCCTTGGAGCCTTTCCTCCGGTGGACTTGCCAGCTGTTTGCTTCGTACGAGCCATTTTGATTGAGAAGAAACTGCAAAAGGTCTCAAAAATTAAATAAGAGAAAGCCAAATAAGATGAAATTAAACTGCTAAGTTCAAAAAATCAGAAAATAAGGAAGTAAACGGAATGCCCTAGGGTTTCGATGTTTTTCAAACCTGAATGAACTCTGACCGACTATTTGATTTCTTCGATTTGCTCTTAATCTGGCCGCTAAAGAAGCTCTTATAGACAGCTGAATTAGAATTTGAACGGGTTAATTGGACATAGACCCCTGAGCTTGGCGCATATAGCCAATAGATCCCTATAATTGAAATGGGTGGCATTGAATCAAGTAATGAGATTCCAAGTTGATCTACTAATCTACACTTGTGTGGATCTTCAATCGTCTAGACGTTGTTTAGAAGCTTGAAGAGATCCCGAAGAGAAAAGTTTAGCTCAATTAGTTTAGCTCATAGTAATCTGGCGATTCGACAGGGAAAAAGGAAAGAAAAGAGGAGAAAAGACTGAGAAAGGCTAAAGATTGAAATCACAGAATAAGAAAGTAAAGGAGGAGAAGACAGAAATTTTGAGAGGAAGGAGGAAGGTACGAAACAAGGAGCGGCGGAGAGAACTGGAGAGTCTTGATTCTTTACCCTAGGTTTTGGATGGGGAGAAACGCGTGTCCAACTCCTTAAATCTATTTTTATTTTGACATCGATCACCTGATGGAACGATGTCGTCTTTAAAAATCACGAGCAACTCACGAGGGCCAACGAAAACGAAGAAGGGCAGACGAAAAAAAGAGCCTCAGACCAAAACCACCCACTCGCTCTTATTCTATATATGTTGAAAAGTTGTGGGGTAAGATAAAATGACGTATTTGAATACGTAAAGAGGTTCCTTCAAAAAAAATAGTTAAAGAGGTACATTGTTGACTTACGTGACCGTTTGAAAAGGTAATCCAAAGTCTCAACGAATCACTTTAATGTATTAATTATATATATACTATACACTATCACTATAGAATGAATGACACGAGAAAATTTTAAATTTTAACTTTTGCATAAGGAAAAATCATTCAAAACGTTCTTCACATTTTATAAAATAACTTTTTTCGTCCCTCATTTTTAAAAGTGTAATTTTACGTCCCTTACAAATTCAAATTAACTAAATTTGGTCCCTACCTACATTTTCGATTAGTTTTTGATCGAAATTCACCACGTGCCTTGCACGTGATCATATTTTAAGGGCAAAATTGTCAAATCAAATTTTATATACTTCGATTCATAATCCCTCACATTTCATAAAATAAATTTTTTCGTCCCTTACATTTCACAAAATGAATTTTTTATCCTTCATATTTTTCAAAATGAATGTTTTCATCTTTTATTGATCATTTGTGTGAATAATTTTTTTTAAATCCATGTATATATCTATTTGATTTCACTTGAACAATACGAATAGCATATGAAATCAAATAGAGATATATTACATACTATTCGTACTGCTCAAGTGAAATCAAATAGATATATACATGGGTTTAAAAAAATTGTTAGTTTTTCAAATAAAGAAGACATTTAATCCTAAATATTATCGAGTGTTTATATCGAATTAAATATGGATAGAAAAAATAAACAAAAGAAAAGTATGGCAAAAAGAAATTAGTGATTGGCATTTTCAAATTTTAAAACAATCACAAGGTAAGTAATTCAACTGTTGGTATTAAAAGTGTCAAGTAGAAATTTTTGTATTTAAACTGAAATTTGTTAGCACAATTATAGAATTCGAGTTAGGACTCATTAATTAGATGAACTTATTAGACAATTCAATAAATAAATTATTGTCAAAATAGAAATGTCACAAATATTGAATAGGTTCAAATAGTGAAATCATATAAATATATACATGGGTTTCAAACAAAATTATTAGTTTTAAACCCCTATATATATCTATTGAATAGCATGTGTACAATTACAATTAGCATGTTTAGATGAAATCCAATATAGATAAATTATATGTTATTTGTAGTGTTCAGATTAAATCAAATATACATATACATGGGTTTATAGAAAGAAATCTATTCATACACATGATCAATGAGGGATGAAAAAATTTATTTTTTGAAATGTGAGGAATGAAACAATTAATTTTGTAAAATGTTAGGAACCAAAAAATTCATTTTGTAAAATATGAGGGACTATGAATCAGATTATATAAAAATTTGATTTGATAATTTTGCCCTTAAAAAATGATCACATGCAAGTCACATGGTGGATTCCGGTAAAAAACTAGTCAGAAACCTAGGTAGGGACCAAATTTGGTCAATTTGAATTTGTAAGGGACGTAAAATTACATTTTTAAAAGTGAGGGACGAAAAAAGTCATCTTATAAAATGTGAGGAACGTTTTGAATGATTTTCCCTTTGCATAATAATGGTAATAATATATATACTACACTGACATTCAATGTCATCCATTCAACCATAATAGTATATACACTGACAATATATATACAACTAGTTTTGTACCCATTCGTTGAATGGGAATTGTCTAAAAATAATAAATTATTTAGTGTAGTTCATAAAAATATTTTCATAAAATACAAAACTTATTGTATAATCTATTATAACCTTTCTTAATTACATTGTTATTAAAAAAATAGTCTTATAATGTAAATTTAAACATCTAATTCAGTGATTAATAATTCGAAATGCAACAAAAAAAAAATCGACAATATAATGACATTCAAAAACTTGAAAATAGGGAAGATCAAATCTTGGCTGATCTTTTGTAAACACAAGAATGGCCAACCCGTTACCAAAACATCAATTTTGGTACTTAATATAAATGGCTTAAAGGTTAATGTGAAAAGAAAAGAAACCAAATGAAATATTAATAAAAGATAATAATTCAGAATCAATCAAGTCACAGAAACATAACAATCTTCTAAATGTGAGGACCCGAAATTTTCTTGTTTTATTTTATTTTACTGGCTTAATTAATTATTTAATTCGACTATTTAAAATTCATTTATATGGAAAAATGCCTCTCTTATGTTTTTAAATCGTTTTGCTAGAAAAGTTACTTTTCGAAAACTCGTTTAGTTCGGAACAACAAGTACACATTTTTTTCGAGACTATATTTGAATTAAGGGTGTATTAATTTTAGAAAAGTAAGAATGATCAATAGTAAATTAAGAAAAGTCGTGAGGACTCGCAAAATTTATTTATTTTAAACTCCTGTTACGAGTTTATTTAAATATTAATTGATTGTTTGCCCCGAATATTATTTTCTAATCTTTTTAGACCCAATTACATGCAACTATGACTTACATGTATTTTTAAAATGACTTGTTATGGAAATTAATTTTTGAAAGCTCGTTTAGTAAGAATAGTGAATACGTGTTTTCGAAACAGTGATCGATTTGAGAATACAATAAACTCGGAAAATTGGAAACTTATACATTAGTCTTAAAAATAGGTATTTTTATGTTTAAACACTCAAGTATTAGTTAGTGATACTATCGTTACAAGAATTTCTTGGAAATTCCACTTTATCGCGCACAAATTGGAGATACCTGTTTTCACACGTGCGATTTAATTGAGGGGCTTAGGACCATTATTTTTAGACCATTAAGAGTGAATAATAATAGTATGAATACAAGTACATTAGAGGTTTAGTGCACAAGTGAAACAAACTCGAGAGGAATCGAGCACGAAACGCGCATGTGCGCGCGCGAATAGAGGTTTGACTTTTGTGCCAAAGAGGGCCCCAACCAGTAAGCTTCTCAGGGAAGCCTCTTTTGATCAACAACGATTCCTTCTTTTCTTTCCTATGCTGGCCAAACAGACCAAGAGGAAGAACAACCAAAGTTTCTTCAATTTTTACCACAAATCTTACTTCAAATTACCTCAAATTTTGTATCCAACTTGCAAATCACTTGGAGATTCACTTGGACTAGGAAAGGAGCACCATTTCCACGGTTCTTTGGAGCTTTTTAGTGGCCAAAATTCTGGTCTTCAACATCTAAGAAGATAATAAACGATCAACCTTGAAATTCTTGATTTATGGAAGTAGTATTGCACTTATAAGTTCATAATTTCATGTGGGTAACTTTAGATTGTTAGATTTTGGTGTGTGGGCTCTATGAACTCCCACAATGACTTGAGGACTGATTTCATGAGTTTTGATGCTATTAATGTTGGTTTAGTGCTTAAATTAGTGGAAATAAGTTGTATTGGTAAAAGGAAACTCAAAGGAGGTGATGAGCAAAAATATTTTGAAATTGCCCTTGTTATTTTCGTGTGCTTTTGAGCACTTTTCAGTGGCTCAATTGACTTGTTTATGATGTATATATGTTATATAGGTTGTGTAAAAAGATTTCATCAAAAATTACGTGATTTGGTTGGCCAAAAATTGAATTTTCAAAAGCTCTTCAAAACAGGAAATTTGTTCCCGGATTACCTGGGCAGTGTTTTTGTTTCGGCCATAACTTTTTGTCCGATGTTAAAATTGAGTGTCGTTTGTGGCACTGGAAACTAGACATTCCCAGCTTTCCAATGGTATAAAATCCATGTCCTGATTCCACCTGAGTGAACCGTACCACTCATTTGAACATGACTGTCCTGTTTCGCTAGTTCACTGGAAGCTCTGTTTTGAGCAGCAAATTGATACTCAAATATGAGCTAGTTGTGGGCAGATTTTGAAAATGATTTCTTCTGAGAAATTATAGCTTTATGAATCTAGTTTTCAACGCCACTAACCATGCTCAATTCTAAGTTGAATTGAGTGAGTTGTGGCCATATTTTGAAACTGATACAGTGAGTAAAAACCCTCTTTTTGACTTGTAAATGCCTAAATCTTGATTGGGACTTGTTGTTTTGAAATTCTTGGTGTTAATCACCTACCAAATATATTTTGGATATTTCCTAGACTTTGCCTACACAAATGAACCATATTTGAGATATTTTCATTGGCCAAATGTTTTAGAAAAGGAAAATTGAAGTACAAGGCAGATTTGCCTTGGAATCCTTGAAATTTTAGTGATTTAGTTAACCAAATTCCCGTACGTATTTTTTTTATGAAAATTGGTATAGGAATAGCCCTTATATGGTAATGTGATCATGCAAAATTTGGTGCCATTCCGAGTCCATTTAGATGTTCAATCAAAGTCCCAAAATTTGTGAATTAAACCTGGAAATTTCTTAACAGTTTCACATTTTCACCAACTTTGAGCTACTATATCTTGGTGCTCAAAACTCTGATTCTTATTCCACTTTTTTTATTTTAAACTTGGATTGCAACTCTAATAGAGTTCTAAATTTCAGGGGCTATTTTATAATGTGTGAATTTTGCCGAATTTCCAAACTTTGCCAAAAAACCAACCCAAATCTGTCTTGATAACTCAAGTCATTAACTTTGAGCCAAATTTTGAATATTATCTATTTGGAATCATGAAAAAGTTTCTTGTAGAAACTTTTAGTACTTTAGATCTAGTTTCCAACGGTATCAAGTTTTCCAATTTTGAATTTACGGAGAGTGAGATATGATTTTTCAAAAATCACACCTCAAATTTGAAATTTTCAAACTGATGGGAATTGAGCTTTAAAGACTCTTCCCAATCCTTCACTACTAATTGACCATTTCGGACTTGTCTTCATGAAGAAAATCATATTTTTCTTGTATTGTTAAAC